TCACAAGCACTTATCTCAGAGAACAGAGGAAGGTCAAAGTCTAGAAGCAGTTCACGCATGGGTGGAAGCAAGTCAAGATCAAAAAAAGATATTGTTTGCTATAATTGTGGTGAGAAAGGACATTACAAGAACCAATGTAAGCAACCTAAGAAGAGCAAGAAAAAGGGAAAAGAAGTGGAGTCTATAAAGTCAAAAGATAATATCATAGCTACAATGCAGAGTGGTGATTATTTGATTTTATCTCCTTCTGATGATATTTTTTCTTGTGTGTGTCAGGATCTTGAGTGGGTGATTGACACAGGTACTTCTTATCATCCTACACCACGGAGGGAGTTTATTGCTATATACAGGTCTGAAAATTTTGGTGTTGTCAAGATGGGCAACTATGGCACAGCAGACATCATAGGAATGGGTGATATCTATTTAAAGACCAACCTAGGCTGCAAGTTGGTGCTTAAGGATGTGAGGCATATGGTCGACTTGAGGCTGAATTTAATTTCAGTTGGAAAGCTAGATGATAAAGACTATGATAGCAGATTTCATAAAGGGCAATGGAAGCTCAATAAGGGTTCTCTTGTTATAGCTAATGGAAAGAAATGTCATACTTTGTATAGGTTGCAGGCTAAAGCTTATGGTGAGCAGTTAAATGCTACAGAAAAAGACATCAGCATGGAGTTGTGGCATAGGAGACTGGGACACATGAGCGAGAAAGGGCTACAAGCTCTTTCCAAGAGAGAGGTATTACCAGACCTCAGAGATATACATCTGAACCCTTGTATTGATTGTTTGGTAGGTAAACAACATAGAGTTTCATTTGCTAATCCTGCTTTATCTAGAAAAATGCATGCCTTAGACCGTGTTTATACAGATGTATGTGGTCCTTTGAGGACAAAAACTCTTGGTGGATCTGTTGATGTCCTTGGTATAAGTGGTGCACTTTATTTTGTCACTTTTATAGATGATTTTTTCAAGAAAGTTTGGGCCTATGCTTTGAAGACTAAAGATCAGGTGATTAATGTCTTCAAAGAGTTTCATGCTAGGGTTGAAAGGGAGACAGAAAGAAAATTGAAATGCATAAGATCAGATAATGATGGTGAGTATACATGATTGTTTAATGACTATTGCAGGTCACATGGGATCCAACATGAGATGACAGTTCCTGGTAACCGCACCATCATGGAAAAGATCAGATGTATGCTTTCACAGGCCAAGCTATCCAAAAGGTTTTGGGATGAGGCTTTGAGGACTGCAGTTGATGTGATCAACTTATCACCATGTACAGCCCTAGATGGTGATGTTGTAGAGCATGTATGGTCAGGGAAATATGTTTCCTACAAGCATTTGAGAGTGTTTGGTCGTCGTGCATTTGCACATGTTCCAGATAATGAGAGGTCCAAGCTGGATGGTAAGACTAAAGAATGTATTTTTCTTGGTTACTCACATGATCATTTTGGTTACAGGCTTTGGGATCCAGAAAAGCAGAAGGTGTTTAAAAGTAGAGATGTAGTCTTCTTTGAGGATCAAACTTTTGAAGCTTTGAAGAAGAAGGCACCAGCTAATACTTCTGCAGAAGGATTAGCAGATTGTGACCCAATTACTCCTTTAGTATATTAGGGTGATGGGGGAGATGTGTAGGAAGATAGTGTAGAGCCTGATGTTGATCTGCCTGCAGGACAAGAAGTTGGAGAGCAACTTCCCGTAGAACCTCAGTTGAGAAGATCTTCTAGACAACGTTAACCTTCCAAAAGATACTCTACATATGAGTATGTGATGCTTACTGATGCAGGTGAACCAGAGAGTTACCAGGAAGCAGTTGAAAGTGAGCAGAAAGAGAAGTGGTTAGTTGCTATGCAGGAAGAGATGAATGCTCTTCAGAAGAATCACACTTATGATTTGGTGCTACTACCAAATGGAATGAAGGCCTTGAAGAACAAGTGGGTTTTTAGGTTGAAGACTCAAGAATATTGTTCTCAACCAAAGTACAAAGCTAGATTGGTTGTGAAAGGCTTTGGTCAAAAGAAACGTATTGACTTTGAAGAGATTTTTTCTCCTGTTGTTAAAATGTCTTCTATTCGTGTTGCTCTTAGTATTGTTGCTAGCCAGGACTTGGAGGTTGAGCAGTTAGATGTGAAGACAGCTTTCCTTCATGGGGATTTGGAGGAGGAAATTTATATGGAGCAACTAGAAGGCTTCAAAGTTAAAGGTAAAGAGAACTTTGTCTACAAATTAAAGAAGAGCTTGTATGGGCTAAAGCAAGCTCCAAGACAGTGGTACAAAAAGTTTGATTCATTTATGATAGAAAATGAATACAAAAGAACGGCTTCAGATCATTGTGTGTACATCAAATGGTTTGGTGAGGATTTTATTATTCTCTTACTTTATGTTGATGACATGCTTATTCTTGGAAAAGATGTGTCTAAAATTGACAGATTGAAGAAGGAACTGAGTGAGTCTTTTGCAACGAAGGACATGGGGCCAGCAAAGCAAATACTAGATATGCAGATTTCCCGTGATAGGAAAAATAAGAAGATTTGGTTGTCACAGGAGAAATACATCGAGAAGATATTGGAAAGATTCAGTATGAGCAATGCAAAACCAGTTGGTTCTCCTCTTGCAGGTCACTTCAAGTTATGCTCAGAATAGAGTCCGTCAAGTGATGAGGAGAAGGAGAAAATGCAAAAGGTTCCTTATGCTTCAGCAGTTGGAAGTTTAATGTATGCAATGGTATGTACGAGGCCAGACATCGCATATGCAGTTGGTGTTACTAGCAGATTTCTTGCAAATCCAGGCAAAGAGCATTGGGCAGTAGTGAAGTGGATTTTTAGATATCTCAGAGGGAGCTCTAAGGTTTGTTTAAGCTTTAGAGGTGGACCACATGTGTTGACAGGTTACACAGATGCAGATATGGCAAGAGATATAGATACGAGAAAGTCTACTTCAGGTTATATACTTACTTTTACAGGTGGAGCTGTGTCATGGCAATCCAGGTTGCAAAGGTGTATTGCTCTCTCCACCACAGAAGCAGAATATATTGCTGCTACAGAGGTATGCAAAGAAATGTTATGTATGAAAGAATTCTTATAAGAATTGGGGCTGAAATAGGAAAATTATGTGGTGCATTGTGACAACCAAAGTACCATCCATTTGTATAAGAACCCAATGTTTCATTCCAAGTCAAAGCATATAGATGTCAGATACCACTAGATTCAAAATGTATTTGAAGAGAAGCAATTGTAGCTTCAAAAAATTCACACAGATGACAACGGAGCAGACATGTTGATAAAAACTTTACCAAAAAAAAGACATGAGATATGTCAACAATTGGTCGGCATGGCTTCATATTGAGGAGTCATGGGATAGCCTCCCTTATGGGCTGAAGGGGGAGGTTGTTGGGCTAGCAGCCCACAAATTCAGCCTATACTGGGCTTGGGCAGCCCACAGCTCACCCCCTCTTAACCTAACCCTAATTAACATTAGGGGGGTGTGGTGGCTACGTTTTGGAGGTAGAAAAAGACATAAATATGGCAGCAACATGAGAGAAGAAAACAGCCACGGGATTCCAAAGAAAAGGAGAAAAATAAGGCAAAAAAGGAAGAGAAAGAAAGGGAAGAAGACAAGGACAATGCAGAGAGGCTGTTCTCAATCATTTAGCAGTGTTCTCATCTCATGTTAGATCAAATCTACAGTAGACTCTTGTTGTGATTACTTGGGGAGGTTTTAGATATTGTAGGCAGTGACGTGATCCTTGTATCCCAGTTATTCTCTTGTGATTGTTGTTAGGGTTTAGGGCAAGAGATTGAGATTTGTATATTCATTATTCTCATAGTGGATTATCTCTAATTTGCCCCGTGGTTTTTACCCTTCACATTGAAGGGGTTTTTCACGTATATCTTGATGTTCTATTTGATCATGGTTCCATTTAATTTCATTGTGTATTATGATCTTTTAGTATTTATTCATATACAAAGATTATTCCTGTTAATATCTCCATCAACTCCTCCCACCATCAATCCAATAAGCAAGCACATTCCACTATTTGGGCAGCATACCTCGATGGATCTCAAGCAGTGATGTGCAGCTCATAAACTTCTCATATAGGCAGGCTTGAACACCATCGGCTTCTCGCCGCCGCAAGTTCTCCCCGTCTAACTTCAACATGAGCTGCGAGCTCTCTTGGATATATAGGGGAGCGGATTCAAGTGCAACATCCGGCCTCCACACAATTGTGTCATGACCTTGCCTTAGGAGACTTGTCCGCAAAGTAGGTGCATTAGTCGACGATAAAAAAGCAGAGTCAATTGCTACAGATTTGCTTGTTGACACTGTTGTTCCTCATGCCTCCTTCCTCGAGTTGGGAGGCTTGGGAAGAGATGGAGGGATGGCAAAAGGTTTCTTGGTGAAAGGAACGTAGGAACCCAAGGGGAGCGGAGCATTGAAGGAGGATACCAGTTGTTAGTATAACGTATAAAGTGAAAAAAAAAATTTAATGTTAGGATTGAAATCATCAATTATTATAGATTTAAAAATAAATTATGCTTACTTTTTATAGTTAACAAATTATCGTGAATGTCATAAAGCATCGTCAATAAAACAAAAAAAAAAAGACTCATCTTCTTCTCCGGATTAAAAGATTGTCATCGTATACGAGAATAGAGCGTCTAAGAAAAATTAATTTAAAATAATTTTGTTATCTATTTACCAATAATTCTAATCAAAATCGAATTAAATTTTATAATCATATTTTAATTAGATTTCTTAATCTTTAGTTAGGTCAAAGTGATCATATAAAATATATATCTTATCTTAAATTGGTTTCCTAATTAAATATTTTTAATATATCTTTAATTAGGAGATGAAGAGCCGCGGGCACCTGTACTACGATAGTAACATCTCATATATCTTCTCTCTTCCCAAAATTTTATTGTATATGGTTGTGTTGAGTTAGAAATCTAACAGTGCCATGATCAGCGTGAAATAATTTCAGCTCATTTAATGGAACAGAAAAAATTAGCCAAACTGCACAAAATGCATATATGTCGAAGGTGATCGATCACCCCGTGAAGAGTTGTGCGCCTACAAAAAGCATATAGGTAGTCTACAAGGTAGGTTGATAAACCAAAGCATCTGATGACAAAATTGAGATGCCTAAACGTCACCGAGACAATGTATCCACAGCAGGACATGACTAAATCATGCATCTCTCCTGTCTCCCATGGTAGGTTCTGTTGCTTGAGTCATCGATCTCCCATCTCGGCCGATCGTTCCGCCACCTAAAAGGCCATACCACCACTTATAAGACTATAGTTACATAGTCTCTTTGGGGTCCTCCGATAAAATTGAAGTGATACAAAGAAATAAAAAGACTATAGTTACACAAGGGCAAATATTTACCAGATGTAACACCAGAAAGAACACTTGCAAGTGGGATCCCTGCAAGTTGGCTTATCCCATGACCCATATCTCCATGAACAGGCACTTTAGCTTCATTCATGGTTGTCCGTTCGCTGGATTTGGAAGTGTGAGAGGTCGACCATGACCCACCATTTATTCTGGCTAGAGCCATTATAACGTCTGCCTGTAGTTCAACATCGAGTATGAAGGCAATTATTGTTATTGAAAATATTAATCAATTGGAAAACTGCTGGCTCAGTTGATGTGGAGACAAATTAGAGCGAGAATGATGCATAAAGTAAATGAGAAAGAAGGTCAAAGTTTTGCCGAACAGGAAATAAATAGATCAACAGCCAAGTACGGTTAGCTAGCATGTGAATTTTACCAAATATGTATAGATGATATGCTGGTCAAGTGTTTGTGTTGAGTAGTACTAAATCCACCAGACAGGCCAGTTTCTGAAGTCTAAACCACAAAAGATATCGAAGCAATTTGCCGACCCCATTCCAAGAGAGATGAGTATCCATTCTCCAAATTATGCAACATGCCACCTTCTATGCTACATGCTTCTATAATAGATTTAAAGTTTCATCAAGATCATTAACATGAAAATTAGATGGACCTTATTTGGTTGGACATTATCAAAAACATGCGCTTGACCAGCATAGAATATTGTCATTTGACGACCAGCAGATGATGTCGTAGAACGCCTGAAAAACACAAGACAAAGAAGGTTTCTGACATTGATGTCTTCATAGTCAAATCTACTAACAGATGAATCATGGTTGCCTTGTAATCCTGTAGAAATATATAAGGCAAAATCCACTAAATTAGAGAAACATACCTTACAATATTAGAAGGTTCTGATTCAATAGCCAGAGAAGACTTGGGTTTATTCAAGAACCCAGTTGAGTTTCTCCCAAAAGCCATGTTAATTGGGTTATCAGTACTCATAACTCCAGATCCTCCAATGGCTGTTTGAGAACCATCATCTGTAGCAGATTGTGAAATAATCATTGCAACTGCATTGGCATCTTTGTACGCATACAAGGAAGAAGCCAAACCTAAGTACATCCCAGCTTGGGAAAACCGTGGAGCATGATTTGATATCTGTCCAGAATTTTTGGACAATGATTGTTCCTCCTTGAACGTAGGTGAATCAGATCTGCTACTAAGAGGATGTAAGATCAAAGAAGTCGGCCTTGGTGGTCGTAGCATTGATAGCATAATTTTGTCATCATGAGATTTTCCCAGGTGCTCACTAACCACCTCTTTTCCAAACATCTAATTTTCATAGTTGAACATTTATAAGAGGTCTATCAACTATTCACCAAGATAAAGATAAAAGCAGAAGATTTACCCGACAAAGGACAAAAGTACAAGAGCAAAGTTAGTACCTTAACCAGGCATGAGCTTTCGAGAGAATCTGAGCACACAGGATGCACTCTATTTATTGAACCTGAATGTATTGATTCAGAACTGCTCCTCTTTCTTCCAGACAATGTATTGCCAACATCAGGCCCTGGTACAGCACTCTTCCTACCATGAAAGTGAAAAACTTCAGAACCTTTCACCCCCTGCCTCTCTACCAAGGATTAGGAAAGGGAAAAGAAATAAACTTTTTCTGGTCAGCCAGATATAAATTGCTATATGTGAGAAAATTCAGTACCAATCAGCATATAAATATTTGTAGAGAAATTAAAATCCCCAAAAATCCCTATCACCACATGTGCTAGAATATTCATAATTAACAGACCAAGATCCAGGAGAAAGGAAAAAAAAGAAGACCTGACAATGTACAACACATCATAGCAAGGAGTAACAAAGCAAGTATACAGAAGCCACTGGTGTCAAAGCAATGTTATTTTCCAAATCTGAGGCAAAATGTACCATCTGCAAAGATCATGCTCCTAGGAATAACATGCACCCATACATCACAACTATTTGAGGAAATTCACATTAAAAATTGACAGAACAAGAAATATGCATAATTGAAGTGCTAGTAGTCTTATAAACCTCACTCAATTGAGAATTGACTCATTAACTTAATTAAGTGTTGATACACATGCACTAAAATGTTTAAACCCAAGTTATTAATAGTAGACCCATCTAGTATTATTAACCGAATCGATTCTCTCCTCACCCAAGGCCCAATTCATACCCAATGATCATCCCTAGTCAAACGCATGCGAAACATGACTCATCAAATTTTTATGTTTAAAATCACAAGACCCAAATTAATGACAGTTTATCTATCTAATTTTATAAACCAATTCAGTTATACCTGGGCTTCCAATAACAAGTGAATTAGGGCATCATGTTATATCAATTATGCACGAGGACCCCAACCCTAGTTGGCCCAAGAGTCTACAAAAACACAAGAAACATCAAAAAGAAAAGATATTCTCAAGCAACCCAATTAACATCGAACACGAACTCATTACTCAGAACTGCCAATAGAACGTTAAACTTTTAGTGGGAGAAAAAAAACCTAGAAAAGGAAAACATATAAAGGCAATTCAAAGTATTAAATATGCCAAGTATCAAAAAAGAAAGCCATATAGTATACATGAAGTTATTTAAGAATAACAAGTTTTAGATGATCATTTGATGCTTAGAGTGCATTAAATAGGTTTCACCTTAATATATCCCAGTCTGATGAAAAGAGAAGTTATATCTGAATAAGTTGATCTCCCTTACTTTTTTTAAAGGCATCAAATGATACCAGAGAGGCAAAGTATTCCATACTGACAAAGGCACCGTTGGAAAATCTTAAAAACCACAAATAAAAAGAGAGGCTAATATCAGAAACTTCAAAACAACGAGTAATCTGTGAAAAAGACTGATAAAACATCTAGTTTACAAAAACAACCGCAGACCAATTAACAAGTAGCATAGCCTTTCATAATTATCTGTGAAAATGGCATTTAAAGTATCTATACAAGGAAACTTTGCACTGCCTATCACTAATAAATCATGGAAGTCAGATTGCAAACAGCACATTGAACAGCTGAAAAGCAAAGTGGTAAATGAGCAACCACAGGTAGCAAAATTTCACTCCATATTGTAAGAATCACAGTGTCACTAGTAAATGAAGGCTAACACTATGCAAAAGCCTAAAAGCTTAGCAAAGTAGAATAGTCAGCTAGTTCGTTGAATGGTGTTGTACATAGGGAAACCACCATAAAACAGATAAAAGCGTTTGTATACTACAAGTCGATCACCGAAAAGATGAGCTGTGCAGAATGGCAGCAAAATAAGCATATAAAACCAACTAAAAACAAATCAAAAGAAGAAAAAACAAACAAGCATTTACATACAAAATATAGTAAGCGGAGGAATTAAGAGAGATTTCTGAAAAGAAAGACAACCGAAATGTTGTGCAACAGAATAACTTAATTCAACAAGCAATCAAACAAAAAAATTAGTCTCGAACTTGATATACCATCCGAAGAAACTACAGCTATCAAATGTGCAAAGCAAAAGAAAAAAAACGAAAGAATTTGGTTTTTAGCCAATCATGCAGTCTCTAGAGACGAGCTTAAAACAAAGGCATCTTTGGGGCTAATAAATGTACCACGAAAAGTAAAGAATGTTGAAAACAAAAGGCATCTTCCTGTTAGAAAACTTCAACGGAGAACAAAGATCTGATACGAGGAGCAGAAGCAGGTCATCCCAGTACCTTCCCAAAAGAAACAGAAACAAAGAAGAAGCCAGAACGAACCTGAACCGAGATCACAAGTTGGCGACATAAGGCCACGATGGCGGGCTGCAGAGACCACCACCGAGGCAGCATAAGCGTCGTCGGCGGCGCCGCTGTGTCCGCCACTGGAGAGGAGATCCGGCGGGGGCGTCTTCTCAGCGCAGTGCACGCTCATGCCCAAGAAGTCATGGAAGCAGGGATTTTCCTTTTGCTTGCTCTCATCCCGGCCCATATCCATCACCACCACCACTACCACAACCGTAATCCTCCGATCCTCCGACACCCCATTGCCGACGTCCTGCAATCCCGAATCAGGGCTCGGACTCCCAGAAAGGAAAAAGAGAAATAAAGCTTGAGCGAGGGTTCTCAAAAGGGGAGGGGGTATAGGAGAGGGAGAGGGAGATGGAGAGTGATCTTTTAATCAGAGGAATCAACACACCGGAAAGCAGAAGGCAAGAGCTTTGCGTTCTGGTCCCCTCCTCACTCTCCTCTGCCTTTTATTTTTCCTCTTTTTCTTTATGATTTTTTACCGCCCTCTTTACTTACAGACTC